CAATGTCAGGTTGTACATCCGTCAAGAATGGACAAAGGATAAAGTGGCGCTCGGCCAGGCCTGGCCTGGCCTGTGGGAGATGGGATAATTAATGGCCGCCCAATTCCACTAGGGTACGCTCGCGTCACCATTGACAGAATACTTGATAAGAAGTATAACAAGATACCCATTGAGTACCCTGTAGCGGAAGATAGGCCAAAACTTGGTCATAACAAGGGCTCTCAAGTGGTCTGGCACAAGCGCTTCATTAAGCTTGACCACCAATTTTCCTCTGATGATGAGGACGACTACGAGTCTTCGCCCACCCACGATGATCACTCACCATCTTCCAACAGAGATCACTCCCCTCCTCATCCAGAGCCATCACCCTCGAGAAGACAGAGGTATCCTTCTATTGCTCCTCGTCCGACTCCATCTTCATCAGCCCCGAGAAAAGAGACTCCTCCTCCTCCTCCTCCATCATCAGCGTCAGGAAAACATAATTCTCATCATCATCCTCCTCCTCCTCGTCCACCTCAGCCCAAAATAAGATCATGGACATCCTCGCAGTCGCAGAAAAGGTCCATGGATTCAGTCACTAATGCTCCCAAAGTGGACCAACAAAAAAGAAAAAAGGCCATTCAGTGGTAGCGTTACCACCTTGATGAAAGAAAAATTTACAGCACACATCTTGAATGAAGATTGTATTAGTTTCTTCAATCTATGTGCCTCACTGCCTCCGTTTTTGTTGAAGTCCGAATTCGAAAGGCAAACACAGAATAAATACGCTACAACAAGAGATGAAGAAATACACAATAAAGATTTAAGAAACATACAGAAGTTAGTCGAAGACAACCCTAATTTAACCATGGAAGAGGCCGCGAACATCTATTATGATGTACAAGGGACGGGAACACCGGCAATGAAGTATGAAAGGGGCAATCTTTTGGTTTCCAATCATGAGTAGAAAAATCTGACAACATATATGCGCCAGTTACATGAATATTACATGGCTCAAGCAACAGAGACGGACGACTTTGATTTTGAGGTTATTATCCATTCGCCACATGTTTTCCATTATCCTGAAGAAGAGAAGTTCGATGTCGAGTGGGAGTGCTTGTTCCAGCTATACAAGAAATGCTCTCTCGATGTTCAAATGTTGACGCTGTGGACTATGTAAGTACCCTACACGCACAATATTACAATTAACTACTCTCTCGAGACACAAATTGTTAACTTTTGAGCACTTCCCATGATTTTATGTAGGTGTATAGCAAAATTTTGCATTCTAAAAAGAAAATAGGATTACATAGGCTGCTTGGACCCCATGCGAGTCAATGAGAGGACATGTCTAGGCCTCTATGGATGTGACGTGGAAGACCTGAAAAAGAGATTGATTGTTGTTTTCGATGAATTCACGATGAAGAAGAAAACCCACATACTTCTAGCCTACAACTGCGAGTATGTGTTCCAGACTTTTAATTTTATGCTTCTTTTTTCGTTAAGATTATTTGATAATTAGGATTCTGTGATTACAGCAACCATTTCGTCTTCATTTGTGTTAATCTTGCCAAAAATCTGCTCGGGGTGTGGGACTCGAAGAAAAAACCATTTCATCATCTGGATGCACTGGTGGTAGTGCTGAATTAGTAAGTGATCCTAATAACATATTATATTCTAATCACACATACCGCTTTCTAAAGTTTCTCTTTTTAATGTTGCGCAGTGTCTGAAAAAGACATATCGGTGGGACGCCGGTCCCATTTAAGGTTGTCGAAATGGAGGGGAAGTACCTATCACAGCCGGCGGGAAACAATGAATGCGTGTTTTATGTAATGTGGGCAATGCTTCGCTACATCGGCGAAAAATCGGAAGAAGCCGATAAGTTGGTGTGTATAATCCCCATTTCATTTATGTCTGTTAATAATTCCACAAAATGATTTACTATTCCTCTTTGGATATCATATTTTTTGAATGACAGCGCAAGAAATATAAGCACGAAAGGCTGCTAGACATGGAGATCGCCGCACTACAATCGGAGCTAGCAAAATTCATCTAAGCTGAGGCATTGGAAAAAGGTGGAGTATTTTCCATTACATAATCCACGAAGTACAAGGACCAGTATGGCCCAGAGCAGCTCGCCAGATTATTGTAAGAAGTCGAGAAGCATTGCACAATCTGTGAAGTCCAAGAACATTTCTTTTTTATTTTGAGGGATCGAGATCTGGATAAGAACATTTGAACTGTAACTGTAATATTTGTAATATTTAATATCGATGGACCTGTCATTTACGTAGCGTATGTAAAGCGAAACCCGATTCCATGAAAAAATATAAATTAAAATCAATTATAAAACAATAAAATACGAATGGGCCATCACTGCTGGTTAGCAACGAACCGGCAGTGTTGTCGTAACCATCACTACCGGTTATCAATAAACCGACAGTGTTGCCTTGCTCAACACTGCTGACTTGCACTACTAGAAACTAGATTTTTCCTGTGTGCCGTATATATTTTCTGTCGGTTGAACAAAAACTCACAGTAAAAATATAATTTACCCTGTCGGTTCTCTAAACTCACAGGGTAATACATATAACCCTGTCGGTTTAAGTGATACGCACAGGGAAATTAGCTCACAGGATAATTACCTACAATTCCCTGTGAGTTACGTAATTTTTCTGTCACATATGTACACAGGGTAATTTGGGATCCAAAGTGCGCCAATTTCCGCGCCTATGTTTTTGCTTCGCAGGCTTCTTCATGCTTTCGCCGGCCGTGGCTTTGCTCCTATGGACTCTATCAATCCAAAAGGCAAAGAATGAAAAAAAATGTCAGACCTTATCCATCCCCCATCGTCCAGCCTCAAGTCGCATCCGCACTCCACCCAGCGTCGCCCAGCTCCTGTTCTGTCGCGCCTCCGCCTCTCCACCCGGCCAGCTCCCGGCCGTCGCCGCCTCCGCCTCTCCAGCCACCTAGCTCCCGGCCATCGCAGCATCCGTCTCTCCACCCGCCCCGGCCAGTGGCCCGTCCGCCTCCACTCTCCTAGCTTGGCCGGTGGTCCGCCCGCCTCCAGCAAGGAGGAGGCGGCCCGTCCGCCCGATGGGCTGGTGGCCCTTCCACCTCAGGCCGTCGGTGTCCCATCCTTAGTCGGTCGTCCGTCCATAGCCAGCCATCCGTCTGCCTCAGCTCCGCCTAGATCGACGCCCGTCCGCCCCGAGCCAGCCGCCCACCTCCTCGCAGCGAGTCGCCACCACGCCGACACCCACATCGACGTCATCGCTTGCCTGATCCAAGCCTCCATACAAAGCGCATCTAAGGTTTGCCTTGGACCCACTACACCACCACAACATCCCACAGTCTTTCTTCCATCTAATGTCATGTGAATCTATAAGTAATTGCATGGCGTGAGCCCTTCCTGAACCCTTTCCCTTTTTATGTGGAATGTGATGGTTTGTGTGGTGGTCATCGAGGTAGCATCTTCGGTCATTGGATCCGTCACCTCCCAGAAGAATCGCCTCTACCATTTGGTTTGATTGGAGAGATCTATTACCTTCAAACCACATTTTGCTACGCCACACATCGAAATTGAGAAGCACCGTTGAGGTTCACTTGTAGACTTAAATTTACTGATGTTCCTTTCATAATTGCTATTGCTAATCTTATTGATAAGCAATGTTTCTTTCACTGTTTCTACAGCCTACAGCAGCAATAGAAGCACCCACAGTCATCTTCCGTTGTCCTTTTGCTTCAAGGTACAACTATTTCTTTTTGCTCTATTTAGTAATCTGCTCTCCAACTAATAGAGATGAATGGTTGTTATGTTATGTTTGCCATTCTGTTTTGCTTTGCTGTTATGTGGTTGTATCGGTTCAGATTTGTTAACTTTGCTAGGCAAATGTCTTGTGTTCGAGAATGGTAGGATCTCTTTGAAGTTGTACAATGCAAGCTTTTTTTTTGAAACAATGTGACATAGACAACATGCATGGTATGAATTAGTAATTAACACTTTCATATTTGAAAACACATAGATAATTGAAATGCCACGCACATGGATGTATAGTGGTTGGCAGCATGGGAAAGCTCCATCTCGTGAATGGACTGAACAAACTACTGAATTCCTGGATCATGCAATCTCTTTATTAGGCGTGGTTGAAAATGAGACCACTACGTGTCCTTGTGCCATGTGTCGAAACTATTTTAAGCATAAAAGGCATACTATTGAGCTCCACTTGTGTAAATATGGTTTTAAAGAAGGCTACGAAATCTGGACAGAGCATGGCGAGAACCATGTTAGTCATGATGATTTTTTTGACGGACGTAAAACTACTCATAGAAAAATCAGTAACCAGCCGACGTCCGGTGTCTCCTTCGTCGAGCCTAACCCCTCCCTCTCCCCTAAAGATCCATGTTGCTAGGGAGGACGAGATTCACAGTTGAGACACCCTCAATCCAAGCTGTGAAGGCATTTGCTAGATCTGCAGCTAGTATATCTATTTTTTTGTTTCATTCATAGCACACATGATTAATGCAGGGAGTAACTTAGTGGTTCTTGGAGAAAAGGGATAGCAATGGTTCTGGAAGGGCAGAGAGAGTAGTGGTGCCATCTCGGGGCTTGTTTCATTGGTAGATTAGGGGGTTTGTAGTTTGATTCATTCATACATTGGGCTGGTTTTATGTGGATGTATGTTGAGCGGCAAATTGAAGGCATCTAACAAATGCACTACTAATTTGACATACAACTAAATAGCTATTATTATAATTGGTGCTTCACTGTTGTCTTGATGGCACTACTAATATGATTGGTATGCTTTTATTACACACTGTTGCTATCTTGTGATTGCCACCAATGTACATTTGTTAATTTGGTTGGTATACACGTCTTCTGTTATGGAATGATAGATATGCCACATTCCTAGATATGTTGTATGCCTATATGCATGGTCTAAATTAACAATTAAAATTTTATATTTGTAATACAGAGATAGTTCAAATGTCACGCTCGTAGATGTAAGATAGTTCAAATGTCACGCTCGTGGATGTATAACGGTTGGCAACATGGTAAACTTCCCTCTAATGAATGGGTTGATGAAACAACTGAATTCTTGAATCATGCATTCTCTTTATCGGATGTGGTTGAAAATGATACCATCAAGTGTCGTTGTGCCATGTGTCGGAACTACTTTAGGCAGAAAAGGAATACTATAGAGCTTCATTTGTTTAAATTTGGTTTTAGAGAAGGCTATGAAACATGGACAGAACATGGTGAGAGTCTTGTTAGTCATGATGAACATAGCACTATAGGTACTGAGGAGGGTTGCAATGAAGTTGACCATATGGATGATATGCTATTTGATCTAGTTGGCGGACATCCACCAGCTATAGATGATACGCCAACATCCTCTACCCAAGCCTTTTATAGAATGGTTGCTAATGCTGATGAATTGGTGCATGATAAAACCACCCACTCTTCACTTTCTGCTGTAGCTCGCTTGCTTGCTGTGAAGTCAATGTACAATATGTCAATTGACCACTATGATGATTTCTTAGAAATAATCCATGAACTCCTACCTCCGGACTCTAGGTTGCCAAAGAACTTCTATGAGTCGAAAAAAATGCTAGATGGCTTGGGTATGCCATATGTTAAAATTGATGTGTGCTATAACAATTGCATGCTTTTTTATGGAGATAACAAGAACAAAGATAAATGTGACTTCTATAATGCCAATCGATATGTAGAAGGCCGGAACAAAGTTGCACGCAAAGTTTTGTGTTATCTTCCAATAACGAATAGACTACAAAGGCTGCATGCACATGAAGAAACAGCCAAGCTAATGCGATCGCACAATCGTTCCACGTCTGGTAAAATAGTCCACCCTTGTGATGGAGAAGCATGGCAGCAATTTGATGTGGACTTTCCAGATTTTGGAAGGGAGCCTAGAAATGTGCGACTTGCTGTTTGCACTGATGGCTTCACACCATTCAACTTGAATGCTGCTGCATACTCATGTTGGCCGGTGTTCATTGCTCCACTAAATCTGCCCCTAGGCATACTCCTAAGACCAGAGTATATTTTTCTTGCCCTTGTAGTCCCTAGCCTTGAGCATCCTAGAAGGAAATTGAATATTCTGAAGCAGCCCTTGGTCGATGAACTAAAAAAACTGTGGGTGGGGGTCCAAATAAAGGATGCTTCACTCAAGCACAGCTTTACAATGAGGGCAAGTTACCTTTGGTCAGTGCATGATTTTCATGCTTATGGAGACTTTGCTGGATGGAGCACTAATGGCAAATTAGCATGTCCATGTGGATATGGTTGCCAAGGATTTCAACTCCGTCATGGACGTAAGGCTTGTTGGTTTGATTGTCATAGACGCTTCCTTCCTATAGATCATCCATTTAGAATGCAAGCTAATGCATTTCGTAGGAACACAACAGTGCTTGAGGAACAACCTAGGCGCTTAACAGGGGAGGAAGTGGAAGATCATCTACAGAAGTTTGTAGATGATACACCAAAATATGGAAAACTACACAATTGGACTTTTATGAGCTGCTTTAGGCAACTTCCATACTTTTCTAAGTTAAAGCTCCCACACAACATTGACTTAATGCATAATGAGCGAAATGTAGGTGAAGCTATTTGGAACACTTGCTTTGACATAGCTGACAAGACCAAAGATAATGTGAAAGCTAGACTAGATCAAGCTGATATATGTGTTCGGCCTTTGCTGAATTTAGTGAGAAATAACAAGGGGAAGTGGAAAATGCCAAGGGCTCCATTCTGCATTGACAAAGATGACAAGATAACCATTCTTCAGTGGTTCCAAGATCTAAAATTTCCTGATGCATATGTGGCCAACATCAGGCATGGTGTTAACCTGGTGCAAAAAAGGATTTTAGGCCTCAAAAGTCATGACTTCCACATCTTTGTTGAGCGCCTTCTCCTAGTTGCATTTTGGGGATTTCTTTCAGAGGATGTATGGCATTGTTTGGCTGAGCTTAGCTTTTTCTACAGGCAGTTGTGTGCTAAAGAGCTTAGTAAAGACATTGTTCGTTCTCTAAAAGAGAATGTTCCTATGCTGCTGTGCAAACTGGAGAAGATATTTCCTCCTGGTTTTTTCAACCCTATGCAACACTTAATCATACATTTACCTTATGAGGTACTATTAGGAGGGCATGTCCAAGCCCGTTGGATGTACCCGTATGAGAGGTAAATCTCAGAATCAGTTCTGTGACATAAAAATTTATTTAGAATTTTGTCCATGATATCTTCGTATCAATGTGTAGGTTTATCAAAAAACTTAAGAAGAAAGTAAGAAATAAGATACGTGTTGAGGGTTGCATTGTTGAGGCTCCTCTAGTTGAAGAGGCTACAATGTATTTTAGAGCAAGCGCTCGGTCTACTAAAAACAAGATGCCCCGATATGATGATGATGCCTCTACGTTTGAAAGCGTATGTGACCTCGAAATTTTCCAATACTTGGGTAGATGCATCAGCCCAAGAGGAACCCATGAGCTCTCTAGAGAAGAGTACAAGGTTGCCTTTCTGTACATACTAACTAACATACCTGAGATGGATGATTTCTTTGAGTACGTACTTCAAATCACAATCACTTATTTATTTCAATTAAGTTATGATATGTGTTCATAATAGTAAGTCTATTAATGTAGAAATTTTGACAAGGAGCGGTGGAAGAGTCGTGTTGTTCCAACTGAACAGTAGAAACATGAATTGAGACTAAATGGTTGGAATTATGGCCGTTCCATAAAACAAGGGCTAGATTGTTTGAATGGTTCAAGGACCAAGTAATGTCCCTATGCATATGAGATTGCATTTGTGTTAGTTTCACAGCAGACACCGCTAACATATAAACTACATTTTGCAGTGCATGCAATCATCTATTGTTCACAAAGCTTTGTGTCAAATGTCATATGGTTTCTGTACTTGAGTTCATTGTTATGGTTGTTATGATGTCAATGGTGATAGATTTCGTTCTGAGCAGTATGAGAAGGGAAGATCTGGACTAACCACTTGCAATACTGGTGTTTGTGTGTCCTCTTATGATGAAAGTGGCAATGTTCTTGATTATTATGGTGTCATAGAAGACATCATCAAAATTGTTTGGGAAGGGAGCATGCCACTTGAGTTGGTTTTATTTTATTGCCGTTGGTTTGATCCAACACCCAATGGACTACGACGCACTGAGAATTTGGGTTTGGTAGAGATTAAGCACACATCAAGATTATCAAATTTTGACCCATTTGTCATGGCTATTCAAGTGAGTCAAGTTTACTATCTACCTTATCCATGTAAAAATAGAGAAGATCTCATGGATTGGTCAGTAGTGTATAAAGTTGCTCCACATGGACACATACCTCCAATTAATAGCAATGCTGATTCTAGTCTTGGTGAAGGGCCAACTCAGGATGTTGAATTCTTCCAAGAGGACGGATTAGATGGCACCTTCGTTATTGACTTGGGAGCTGCATTGGACTCTATAACATCATTGGTCTCAGATGAGATTACTAATCCTAAAGACTTGGAAGGTGGAGAAAAATCCACTGAGATTGAGGAAGAAAATGAAGCTATAGATAAAGAGATAGAGTCTACAGATGAAGAGAATGAAGATTTAGATGAAGCTTACGATTGAATTTCAATGTTTCACTGTAGTATTTTATGTATTGTACTCTATTTTGTGAACTTTGTGTTCTCCATGCCTAGGATCTACTGTATTGAACCTTTATTAATGTATATGGTATTGCCTATGTACTGTGTACTTCGCTATACATTCAAATCATGTGATTGCCACCAGTGTAGATTAATTGACCACTATGATGATTTCTTAGAAATAATCCATGCTATTGCCTATGTACTATATACTTCGCTACATTCAAGTCATGGCTCCAAACTTATGAAAATTATGTTGTACAGAATGTTATATTTGTATTTTAAATCTGCATGGTAAATCTCACTTATAATTTTTCATTGCAGATGGTGAGTAGCATTCGTCACAACCGTAATAGTCGTGCAAAAGGGAGTGCTTCTCGTGTTTCAAACTCAAGTGATGGTGCCTCTCAAAGACCAAGGTCTGATCCTCCTTCCCAAAGCCTTAATGCTACTGAACCTATCTGTTCTGTATAGTCAGCTAAGCAAAGGGGGAGAAAGCAGGGGTGTCTAACAAAGTTAAAAATGCCGGTGCGTGGTCGCAAGGTTGCCCTTGAACCACTTGGTGATACGTGAGTACACAATCATCTCTACATTTTGTCTCCCAACTTTTCTACCCTTTTACTAACCATTGTTTACATGTCTTACATCTTGTACTGGTGAAAAGGCAATTTACTTATGTTGGTTATCGTGGTTATAAGTACACTACTCAAGTTGGGGTTATTATTAAGAGAGAATACCCAGGCCTGGTAGATGACAAGGATCAACATGGTGTAGTTCTTAACACCCGCCCAGCACTAGAGTGGACTGATTATTTCCTAACACCAAAGGATAGAACGGGACAGACTGCTGGAGATCGTGTACTTTCTGAATTTTGGGTAACATGAATTTTGTATAAGTTGACACACCTATACCATAACTACTATGGTTACTATATGTGTAATTATTTGTGGTCATTCCTTGCATGATGAAATGACTTTCTTCGCTTTTGCATGTAGCGTTTGTTTCAAGTCAAAAGGGAGGATCAACAAGAAGCAAACCGTGTTTTGGAAAATTATGTTAAGAAAAAGGTCAAGGACATTTTGTACCAAGCTCGTGTGGATGCTGTCAAGGTGTACTACAAGGACGTACTAAAGTAGAACCTAGATGATAAGTTGGCACGACCGATAGAGCTTACATATGAACAATACCTGAATGACAGAGTGAAGTGGTGCAAGCGTACTGCATGGCCTTCTCTTTGTTGTTATTGGTGCTCAGAAGAGTTCCTCACAAAACGAAAGAGGGGGCAGGAATCTCGGTTATCTTCTGATGATATTGCTCAAAATCATGGTGGATCTAGACCATTTAGGGAGACAAGACAACTTTTGGTTGGCACATTTCTTCTCTTTATATAAATTACATACAGAACTCTCTTGAGAATGGTATGCATACTTATTCCTTATTACAGGGTGAGAAATTTGGCCCTAGGAGTGCAACTGATATGAACACTTTCAAGGTGATGAAGTGTGGCATGAAAAATGTGGATTACACTGGCAGACCTGGTGCAATCAGCAGCCGCAAAACACAAAAGATTGTGGTATGTATCTAACAAGCTGCTGCTTGTAGGTTCTAACATAATGCTTCATGTTCAATCTTGTTTGGTTATAGACATTAGAGTGGTCTATCTAGTAGAAAATGCAGCCATCATTAGAGTGCTCATCTTAAAATAGAATTTGGGTCTATTGAATAAATGGCTTGATTTTAGACTAAATAGATGTGTTTAGCATCTTCAGTTTGTAGCAGCTTGCCAACTAGTCCTAAACATGGCTGATAATGTCTTTTCCTTTCTAGGATGAGTATATAGCAAAGTCCCAGGCTGCTCATCCAGAAGGGCTGGAGCAACAAGAGTTGGATGGACAAATTCTGTATGATCTATCTGGTGCCTTGCACCATGGTCGTGTAGCCATTGCAAATGGTGCTGTCAAATTGGCTGATGTGCGGGCAGCTGCCAAGAAAAAAAATCCTACATCTTCAAATGTAGCATCTTATCGACGCATGGCCAAAGATAATCGGAACTTACGTCATGCAAATAGGTGTTTACATGAGCGCCTTAACCAGATGGGGGAACTTAATAATGACCTAATACTGGTATGCATGTGAATTCGTGTCTATTTATTGATTAAAGAAAGCACACTCCTAGTAGTTTATTTTTGAACTACTGTACTTGTTTGGATGTAGGATCTTTATCGTAAATTGGATCAGGAGGTTCTAGAAAATCATAAAAGGCGTCTTGCAGCTCTACAAGCAAATGTAAGTACATTAACTTGATACTTGTACCTATGAAATCAGTATTAATTATGACAAAAAAACAGCTGGTCTAAACCATTTTAAGTAGACAATTGATATGCTTTGATGTCAGAATGACAACACGCAGTGCAACAGTGAGGGAGTGGCCTCATGTTGATGGCTACTGTAGTTTCCAACTTTCCATCTTAGTTTTAACCTCATGGTAAGCTGTACTTCTAGCTGTACTGAAACTTGCCACCTCCAGTAAGGAATTTATAATTTAGTCCCACAGGAATCTGAAGGTTTGACATAGCTAGTAGATGATGAAATAGACATTGAAATCTTGTGCATGTCTAAATAATTCTTTCAGCTCCAGAATTTCATGGAATGCCAATTCATTTTATTTCTCGTCAGGGCCACTATTCACTTGTATATGCTTCATGTATGGCGCCGGTGTAAAAGGAAATCATGTATAAGACAATTAATTAATGTTTATCAGTCCTAAAATCCAATTGATATTTACATGGTATTATCATTTTGCAGCTGCCCACTAGTTCATCCCATGTTGGTGAGGACTTGGATGGTGAGGACATGGATGGAGAGGACGAAGAGGACATGGATGGCAGCTACATGGAAGGAGAGGACACGGAGGAGGACATGAATGAAGAGGACATGTATGAAGAGGACGAAGGGGACAAAGAGGACAGGGATGAAGAGGACATTGACGACAACAATGGGGGAAATAATGTTGGATCATACATCGATGACTTCTGTGATTTGGGATATATATGGTAAGGTTGCTATTGGCAGAAATAGCACATGGGTTGTCAAAGTGACTTTTGTCCATTGAACAACATAAGTTGGTCGTTGTCTTTTGTCTTTTGAACATGTATGGCCGTGGATGGTTAACTTAGTAGTAATTAAATGTTAGATGGACTTGGCTAAAACTAGGATGTCGTGGTAGGTGACATGGCTGTACATGTATAAATTAGGAGCAGCATATGGTGCTAGTAGTAGAATTTTAGATGTAATTTGTGAGAGCGGAACCTTTGGTATGTTGGCCCGTATTGAATGCTTTGTAAGCTTTTATGGAACTTCTAATATATATGCTTGATTATTGTGCTATGCATATAATGTGTTGTTTGGTGCATCTGGAACATAACATGTAATTGTGATATTTTCCTGTCATCTACTAATTTCTCTGGTGGTGATTTGAGAAAAAAATTGTGCTTTCCTTGAGGGGAAACCATCAAGAAAATTTGGTTGAACTGATAGAAATTCAGTATTTCATTGATGGAAAACCGATAGAAAATAGCTTCCCATCCCACAGAATTATCTTTATTTCCCTAAGAGTTGACTGACAGAAAAATTACTAAAACCCACAAAGAAATTAGCAATATCCCTGACAGTAAGCCTACAGGAAAAATAATTAACCTGACGGTTGCTGACAACGTACTGGACCTACTGACGTTATTTTTTTTGTCACGCATCCGTCAAAGAAATACCGTCAGGAAAATATTTCTGTCGGGAGGCTCACAGGTAAATTTTATTTCTCTGTCAGCCTATCCTTGACGGGATATGCCTGCGGGCTCCCAACAAAATTAATTTTTCTAACGGTTTTTCCCGCTTTCTTCATGGTTTTTTGGCACACGGGAAAAATGGTGTTTTCAGTAGTGTTGAGCCATGAACCGACAATGTTGGCTTGCTCAACACTATCGGCTTGAGCCATGAACCAACAGTGTTGTCTTGCTCAACACTGCCGGCTTGAGCCATGAATCGACAATGAAGGCTTACTCAACACTGTTGGCTTGAGCCAAGAACCAACACTCTTGAAGCAACCATCATTGTCGGTTGGGACTACAAACCGACAGTGTTGTTCAACTAGACACTGTCGGGTGGAGCCAGGAACCGACACTGTTGCCTGTAGATCAGTGTCGGTTTTTAAGAACCGACAATGATGTCAAACCTCCATCACTGCCAGTATGCCACTGTCGGTTCAAAATCTGGCAGTGAAGGGGGTTTTTGAACCGACAGTGATGTCCAGATCTGGGGTAGTGTGTTAACGAAAACATGGATGATGATGTTAAATATTTATTTATATAATATATTTTTTATGAAAATTAAAATATATATTCCATTGTATGTATAATGATCATTGTAGCCTTAATATAAGTTAATATTGGCAATAATATGACAATATTATATTAATTCTGTATTGAATTAAATTAGAACCTTGATAGGATTTTTTCTTTCATTGTAGGGCACTAAAATATTTTATCGCAAATGTATCATAACTTTAGTTTTCATACTATCCATATGTTGGTAGTGTTAGATATCAAAGTTCAATGGCTTTTTTTGAGAATCCATAAAATTACATATGCTAACGCTACGATTTTAGCCAGCCCCAATCCGCCAACTAGTCCCGGTCCACTCCTTTCCCCCCTTCTTAAGTCTCAGCTTTTCCTCTCTCCCTAACCACCCGCGCGGCCCAGACGGCTCCTCCTTCCCTCACAGCCCAGCTGCATCTCCAACCAAAAAAACCACAACATGCACCCACCCCGCTCCTTGGTGGTTCGTGGGCCCTTACGTCCTAGCTTGTGAACTAGGGACTCATAGGTGGTCCCAGACAGGAAAGCTCCTATGACGTTGGCATCGGCGATATTGGGTAGCTCGTTGCACTACCGGGATAAGCGCCGGATGTACCCACGAAGAGTTTCCTCA